AAGCAAAAACTTTCAGTGATGTCTTAAAAATGTTACGTGAGGCATTTGCTCCACCGAAACCAGCATGGCGAATATATGCGGAAATATATGAGCAGAAACAAAGCAAAAATGAACCTACTGATACGTTTATACGTAAGAAGAGAACGTTATTTGCACAGTTGGTGGAAGTTCCAACAGAATCCAGCCAAATTGATATGATATTTGGGATGCTTCATCCTCAAATCAGGGAGCGAGTCTATCGCCACAAAGTAAGAACTTTTGAAGAACTCTTGGCAGATGCAAGGGAAGCAGAACTTACAATTCGTGAACGCGTTGTAGTGAACACTGAAACTTTGGAGAGTGGTCCTCAAGGTGGTCTAAAACGTTGCTCCTTTTGTCGGAAGAAAGGCCATACTGTTGACAACTGTTTCAAAAAGAAAAGTGTGGTTGAAGAAGCTACGTCAAATGCTAAGGAAGAAGTACTAAAACCTAAATTGGCTTGCTATGGATGTAACGAACCGGGTTTTGTTCGTGCGAATTGTCCTAAATGCAATGTTAAGCCGAAAGATAAAAGTACAAGGAACGTAAGTTTCAATTCATATGGTATGTCTATTGGTTGTGACATCCCTATGGTGAATGTTCAATTGTTTGGCGTTCCTGGACAAGCTTATTTTGATACTGGTTCTAAAACGAGCGTAGCCAGTTCCAACCTAAAGCGAATTATGCAGTTCAAGGGGTGTAAATTTGATTCAATTAAATGCAAAACAACTTTGGCTGATGGATCTACAACAAATCGAACATTTCGAACGACAACTTGCAAGATTATAGTCGGAGGAAAGAGTTTTGATATAGATTTTTTGGTTTTTCCCGAAGATAAAAACAATCGCACTCTCCTAGGAACAGATTTTATGGAGCTGGCAAATATTGTATTGAATATGGGGCAGAAACATTGGCATTTTGAAGGCTGTCCAACTGAAGTCTTTGATTTTGCCCAAGAGCTACCAGTCGAGATGAATTTGATTGAAACCATCAAAATATCGGATTCATATATAAAACGCAAGTCAGTGGTAGTAGAGGAACGAAACATAAAATCTCCATTTATAACTCCAAAGAGAAGTTGTCAATCGCATGTTTCGGACTTTGAGTCTTATGGTCCTGATTATCATGCCGAATCCGATTATTCACCACATTCAATCCAAGCAATATTCAAAGATGCACTTCCAAATGATGTCACTACCCCAGAAAGAGCAAAAGATACTGATCTATTTCCGAATGTGCGCCGTGTTAACAATTATAGTGTGGGAGATGAAATATTCACTGAACTTCACATGATTGACTTTAAAATCCTGAAAGAGTCAGATGCGCTTAATATAGATAATGAAGATAAGATTCACTTGGATAACTTGTTGGTAAAGTACGAAGGTGTATTTGCCACATCCGGAGACCCTACACCATTTGCAACTCACAAAATAAATACAGGCGACCACCAACCAATATTTTCTCCACCATATCGCATGTCGTTTGCAAAGACGGAACAGTTAAAGAAGGAGATTGAGGTTATGCTTGAGAATGATGTAATAGAAGAATGTGATTCAGCATGGGCTTCTCCTGTGGTGATGGTACCAAAGAAAGATGGATCTGTTCGTGTATGCGTAGACTACAGGAAATTGAACGCAATAACTATTCCCGATAGATACCCTCTTCCCCGAATGGACGATCTACTTCATGCTGCTAAAAGCACAACATATATGACCACACTCGATTTACAAAGCGGCTATTATCAGATAGAAGTAGCTCTCGAGGATCGGGATAAAACGTCTCTGATAACACCCTTTGGAACTTTTCGATTCAAAAGGATGCCATTTGGGTTACGAAATGCACCCGCAACCTTTCAAAGGATGATAAATCGGTTCAAAATAGGAATCCATGATGTATGTATTCTGGCTTACTTGGATGATATAATTATATGTTCAGATACATTCCAAAGACATTTACAAGACATTGAAGTTGTCCTTAAGCGATTGTTGGCCTATAAACTACGTTTGAATGAAAAAAAGTGTAACTTTTGCTGCTCTCATGTAAAATATCTGGGACATATTTTAAAACCCGAAGGTATTGCGGTTGATCCAGGGAAAGTTCAAGCAATAATAGAGCGTAAAGAGCCAAGAAACTTAAAGGAACTTATATCTTTTCTCCAAACTTGCTCGTGGTATCGAAGATTTATAAATAAATATGCAGAAATTGCACGTCCTCTCACTAATCTTACTAAGAAGACTGCTATATGGAAATGGGAAAAGGATGAACAAGAAGCATTCAACATATTAAAACATGCTTTGAGTTCTCCACCTGTTTTAAAGCAAGCCGTAGATGGCATGCCCTTTGCAATACAAACTGATGCAAGTGCTTATGCGTTAGGAGCGGTTTTATTGCAGGGGGAGGGTAAAGATGAACACCCAATTGAATACGCAAGCCGTTTATTAAGCGCTGCAGAACGCAATTATTCCACCACTGAACGAGAAGCTTTAGCCATTGTGTGGGCATGCGACAAGTTTCGTGGATATATTGAAGGCAGTCAAATAAAACTCCTGACGGATCATCAACCGCTGAAATGGCTTCTGAGTATAAAATCACCAACTGGTCGACTTGCCAGGTGGGGTTTGCAACTGCAACAATTGAATTTCTCGATAGAATATGTCCCTGGTAAAATGAATGCTACAGCCGATATGTTATCAAGGCCACCATGCGCAGTTGAAAATCACGATGATACGGAGAATTGCATTTGTGCATTCTTTATCGATATGCCAAATAAAACACAATCTCAAATTCGAGAGGAACAATTGAAAGATGAATATTTGAAGGACATAATAACGTCTTTAGAAAATCAAGATGAAAATTCAATAAAGTGGATGAATCGCAGCTACATTCTGAATGATGGTATTCTATATTGTTACTCAAATGATGATTGTGATGATGCACAACTTGTTATACCAAGTCACGAAAGAGCAACTATTCTAAAAGTACACCATGATGATAGCACTGCAGGTCATTACGGTACTGAAAGGACAATTGCCCGTATTGCTGGAAGATATTTTTGGCCCGGCATGCGTGCAGAAATAGCGAAGTATGTTAAGAATTGCATTGAGTGTCAAAGATTTAAAGCCACCAATTTAAAACCTGCTGGTTTGTTGCAAACCACTAGTAGTAAACAACGCTTTGAGGTAGTGGCAGTAGATTTGTTTGGTCCATTACCACAAACTGAGGATAATTTCAAATGGATTTTAATTGTGGAAGATGTCGCTAGTCGCTGGACAGAACTGTTTAAACTTAGTGATGCCACATCTGAGGCATGCGCAAAGATACTAATTGAAGAAATATTTTTACGATATGGATTTCCAAGAAGAATTAAATCTGATAATGGGGTTCAATTCGTATCAGCAATTATGCAGCAAGTTACTTATTGTCTTGGTATACAGCAGCAATTGACACCATTATACCACCCTGAAGCAAATCCCGTAGAAAGAAAGAATAGAGACCTAAAATGTCAACTTTCCATAATGGTGCAAGAAAATCATGCTAATTGGGATATTTGCTTGCCAGCTATCCGTTTTGCAATGAACTCTTCAAAGTGTCAGAGTACTGGTTACAGTGCTTCATTTTTAACATTTGGTCGAGAAATGCGTACTTTAGACGATGTTCAACACGATGTCAAGTCTATTGTTGAAACAGAGAATGTTATTAATGAATTATCAAAATACCTCAAGACCATGGTAAACTTTTTGGGAAATGCTAAAGAATTAGAAATGAAGGCGCAGGACAAAAACAAGATATATATGGACAAACGGAGACGCCCACATGAAAATTTTGATGTTGGAACAAAAGTCCTTGTTAATACACATGTATTAAGTAATTCCGCGAAAGTTGTCACATCAAAGTTTGTTCCTAAGAGGGATGGCCCATATGTTATTACGCGGAAAATTGGTTCCACGTCCTTTGAAGTCTCATCACCAGAAAATTTAAACATTCCTTTGGGCACTTTCCACTCATCAGCATTAACTCTATACAAAGGTGCGAATAGTGATCAGTTACCAACACCTAAGTATCCGTTGCGGAAAAGAGGAAGACCAAAGAAGTTATCTTATCAAGCCGCCTAGTATTGACGTGTGACTCGAGGCGAGGTTTTACACGTCAAAGGGGGAGTATGTAGCAGTAGCGTTTTTACAATAACACAAATATTTTATTACTTTTTACTTTGCTCAAAACTACTTTAAATAATTTTGTAATTTATTGGAAACAGAACCTTTGTAAAATATTGTTCGTTGTAAATTTTGTCACATTTGTTTTTCGAAAAGGCCTATATAAGGAGCTTCCATAACGAACAATATTCATTCTGTTTTCATAGGTTGGTTAGGATAGTTCAATAATTTGAATAGTGGAGCAATTGGAATACGTGGTAGCTATTCGCAGCCGTTTCCTATTGTTTCCCTCTTTCGATTATTGGAAAATGTTTTGATATGAAGATAAATGTGTAAACGTGGTGACGATGGTCGCCGTTGCCTTTTATCCTAATATCATTACATATATTTTATTCATTCTGTTTTCATAGATTGTTCCCGTCTACGTTATTATTTTGTTTGTTAAATAAAGAATCGTTATTTTGTAAAAAAAACATTCACGTTTAAATCCGGAAGGCTAAAACTATCTGCAATTGGCGCCCACTAAAGGATTTCAAAGGAGAAAACAACGTACCTCGTTACAAATAATAATAATAATAATAATAATAATAATAATAATAATAATAATAATAATAATAATAATAATAATAATAATAATAATAATAATAATAATAATAATAATAATAATAATAATAATAATAATAATAATAATAAAATAATAATAATATAATAATAATAATAATATAATAATAATAATAATAATAATAATAATAATAATAATAATAATAATAATAATAATAATAATAATAATTGTTTATTAATATTAATTAAAGCAGATATACACAACACTTGAATTGTGTAACCTTGGTATGTTTACAATTTCTTGTAATCTACCAAGAATATTTATTTTTGCTTTCTATTTATACATTTTTGAATTCATTAAAACTAGCATTTAAAGTTAACTAAGCAATAAATTACTTCAGCCAATAACCCATGCAATGTGAAACCAATCGAGGTGTTTCTTTATTTAGGCTATTGGCCTGCATAAGGCAAACAATAATTATATAGGTCAGTTATATGCTGACATAGAATAAAATAATAATAAAAACAAAATTAAAAAATGTGTTAGTAAAATATGTTCTTTTGAACATTCTCCCCCACGTTGAACGAGGAACGTTCAAGAAACTGTCTGGTCAATGACGTATGATGATGAGACTGACTGCCGAGGGGTAGGTGTTGGGTTCATGTTATTGTTGGAAGTTCTGTGGTGGCGAAACTTGACAATGACGTATATGGCTACTCCAATTCCAATGCAAAGAGCTAGATAGCTGATGGTATGATGGTGAATGGCCGTCGATTTCATTAATTGTGGAAGGCGTCCGATTTCAATAGTTTTTAGCTGTTGGTGTAAGGTGACGAGTTCAGCAGCATGTGTTTCATAGGTGCTGTTTAATGTTTTGTTGAGCAAGACAAGCTTACTGCTTGAGATTATGGAATCCAGTGGCTTAAGTCTCAGATATGATGTGTGCACTGTTGTTTTGTTTTCGTAGTGACCGTATATTGTAAATGTGTTGTCTTTGAAAATGCAGCCTGGCCCAATTTCTAAAGTTCCAGCTCCTTGCACCTCCAGGTGTGTCATTTTTGTACCACAAACAAAGGACAATTCTGTTAAATTGGCTAGAGTAAACATCCATTTATTCTTTTGTTCCATTTGTCTCCAAGTTTGGTGGTGCATGGTCGATTGCAAGTCGCACGCTTCTGACGATTTGTTCAATAAGAAAATCACCTCGCATAAATGTGATCGATCGCCTTTGCTAAATTTCGCTTGGTTGTCGCAAATAAAAACGTCATTTGTGGTATGTATGCAGCTGTTCATTTCTTCTGCGGTTAGCGATATGAACTCATCCCGATGGACGTTAGCTGCCAATAATGTTGATTTCAAAGCTATTGAAATAAATCGACCGGATCGTAGCATAGGTACGGGGATCATTTTGAATAAATCATACTGCTGGAGATCCACTAATGGAAGGCGAATCTCGAATATGATATGGTTCTTAATAACCCTTCCCTTACTCTTCATTAATTTGAAGAAATCCGAAACATTATCTTCGCGAACGGGTAGAGCACGAGATGGAGGAATGTGAGCCTTGATGGTTTGGAGCTCTTGTAGCAATTGATGTGGCGTAAGTAGCAACGGACTTATCCGACCATGATGAGCATCCGTTAAAACGTCGATTAAGTTATCTTCTATATGTTTCAACCTTGACGAAAGTAGCATGAGCTGTGAAGTGAGAAACATAATTGATTGTGTTGTCTTTACAACATCTTCTTCTTTCTTCACCTTATTTGCCAAAAGGTTCAATTCCACTTGCATGTTGCCGAAGTTCCTTTGGCTCGTATCTTCGTCCTTTCTAATTATGTTGATTGTTGAATCAATAATAGATGTCTGATTTTTTAGAAGATCCAACAAATGTTGCTTGTCTTCATTTGCCTTCTCAATTGTCACAGTCATTTGCTCCGCATATTCCGAATCCAAGACACCAAATAACGAGTGTGCGAGGTTCCCGACTATGTTTAGAGCTCCTCTCCTGATGCGCCTGGGGAATATGTTCAGTGTATTTGATTCCAACTGCTTTTGTACTTGAATAAGATTTTCTGAAAGTATCTCACAGCTTCTGTTCTCAACTGCTATCTTACACAACTTCTGAAGGGTTCCTATCCCGGTAGAAAAGCCATCCATATCTGCCCAAAATGGGGAAAGATCATAATAAGTGATCAGTTTCCACTCTGCTGTTACTACTTTTGTGATTCCAATTCCTTCAAAATAGATGCCGGGCTTATTCTCAAACTTGTGTATGTTGAACGAATGACACAAGCATAGAGGTAAAAATAGTAAAGCCACAAGCATCATCGATACTAGCATGCTGCTTGACGTCTTCAATCGCTTTGGAGATGGCTCTTCACTCCTACTCTGGGTCTCTATAGGCGGAAGAGGTTCCTTTTCCTTTTTCCATAAAGGAGCTAATCTGGTTATAGCTCTTTTAATTTCGCCGTTTTGTGTCTTTACGTCGACTACACGAACGGCTCCATCGTTGCCCTTATATGTTCGGGTTATTCTGCCTAGCGGCCACTGCATTACAGGCATGTTATCTTCCTTAATAATGACCAATTGACCAGGTTCCACGTTTGGAGATGGTGTACTCCATTTCCTTCTTTCTTGCAGAGTATTTAAGTACTCCGTGGACCAACGTTTCCAGAACTCATGCCTAATTTGAGATACGACCTTCCATCTGCTTGTCAATGATGTTGACCATTGGTTCGCTGATGGGTCAACCTGTGCCGTTAACGGTTCTCCCACAAGAAAATGACCAGGTGTTAATGCAGCTAGATCATTTGGATCGTCAGAAATAGGAGTCAACGGTCTGGAATTCAGGATTGCTTCTATTTCAATAACAACTGTTTCCAACTCTTCGTGGGTTAATGATGCACTATTAGTGGTGCGAAGCAACAGTTGCTTGGCTGACTTCACCGCGGCTTCCCATAAGCCACCAAAATGTGGTGCTCTTGGGGGAATAAACTGGAAATCGATCCCTTCTCTTGAACACGTCTCCGCTATTATTTTTTTGCCTTTCTCCCCAAAGACAGCCTTATTGAATTCATCGAGCTGATTTTTAGCACCTACAAAGTTAGTCGCGTTGTCTGAATATAGGGTTTGACATTTTCCTCGCCGAGAGATAAATCTCTTCAATGCTCCAATGAATGCTTCCGTTGTTAGGTCTGTAACTACTTCCAAATGTACAGCCTTTGTTGCGAAGCAGACAAAGACAGCAATGTAAACCTTGTGTGGTCTCTTGCCTCGTATTTTGTAGTGGACCCATGACGGTCCGCAATAGTCAACGCCGGAGACAATAAACGGCCTTGCTGGTGTGACTCTGCTCGGTGGGAGATTTCCCATGATTTGGTTGTATAACTTTGGCTTCGCCCGGGTGCACCTTACGCAATTTTGCACAATGTTGCGAGCCATAGCCTTCCCCTTGATTATCCAATATTTTTGTCTTGATGTTGCCAGTAATAGTTGTGAGCCACAGTGGCTATTCTCTAAATGGATCATGCTAAGAATGAGTTTCACAATTGGATCGTTGTATGGTAACAACATCGGGTGTTTTGTGTCGTATGCTAAGGTTGCCTCTTCCAACCTGCCACCGACTCTAAGTATTCCTCTGTCATCAAGAAACGGAGTTAAACTATGTATGGAGCTTGATTTGTCCAATGCTCCATGTTTCCTCAATTGCTGAATTTCTTTCGCAAAATCTGCCACCTGTACGGTCTTGACTATTAGTTGCATCGCCTGATTCAACTCCATAGGTGTCAATACATCTGTCGAACTTCCATGCTTGCGTCCCTTTATCCTTTCTGAAAATCGCAGGACATAACCGACAATACGTTGTAATCGTCTAAATGAACCCTTGTGGTTGATTCCATAGATCATATCCTGTAACCCACTCTGTGAGGCAATTGCTGACACTGTAGATTTTGTCTTGAATTCAAGATCGGATTGATTTTCTCTATTCTTTGAGAAGGGCCCCGGCCAGAGAGATTCATTTCCATGTAGATACGTGGGTCCATAAAACCACATCAGACATCCCGACAGACGATCTGGTTTCATACCTCTGGATATATAATCGGCAGGATTATCCTTCGTCCCCACATGTCGCCATTGAGTGTTTATCGATCTGCCTTGTATATTTTTTACTTTGTTGGCAACGAACGTCTTTAGAGCTGATGGTTCTGAATTGATCCAGTACAATGTAATCTCTGAGTCTGACCAATAAATAGTCCTTAGATCTTCGTAACCCAATTCGGCTTTGACCTTAGCAGTAAGTTTTGTTCCCAATTCAGCGGCACAAAGCTCTAACCGTGGCAGCGTGATCTCCTTTATTGGTGCTATTTTTGATTTTGAACAAAGAAGTCTGACTATATGCCTGCCGTCTGGCAGCATAGCTCGAAGATACACCACAGCACCATATGCCTTTTCTGACGCGTCCACGAAAGTATGTATCTCAATTTTTGTTGGTTTCTCTCCATCAAACATGTGTCTGGGTAACCTGAAATCATTTAACATCTTCAGACCTCCTCGGAACGATAGCCAATATGCTGCCCTTTCTGCTGGCAGTTCCTCGTCCCAGCCAAGTTTATTCTTCCACAGTTGCTGAATAAAGATCTTAGCTGCTGACACCACAGGACCCGCAATTCCTAAGGGGTCAAACAATCTTGCCAAATCAGATGTGACCTTCCGCTTGGTGACCTTGGTGCATTCGTTCACATCACTCTTCAAACAAAATCGGTCTGCTTGAGGAATCCATGTTAATCCCAAAACCTTGGTTGATGATTTGTCAAAATTGAGATCTACTTCTCTATCTTCTGGAGGAATTCCATGCAGCAGTTTTAAGTGGTTAGCACACCATTTTCGTAGTCTAAATCCAGCTTCCAGTAGTAACATATTAACTTGTTTCTGCATCTCAATTGCCGTTGTTAAACTGTCAGACCCGCACATGCAATCGTCAACGTAAAAATTCTTTTGCAATACCATCGCCCCCAATGGATATCTTTGTATGTTCGTATCTGCTAGCCTTTTCAGACATCTTGTAGCAAGATATGGGGCACACGTCGTACCATATGTTAACGTATTCAACATGTAATGTTCGAGTTCCTTGTCTGGAGTGTTTCTCCATACGATTAGTTGATATTTGCGATCTCTTTTGTCGACTAGCACTTGTCTGTACATCTTTTCAATGTCTGTTGTAAACACAATTCTCGGCAGTCTAAACCGCAACAGCATTCCAAACAGA